CCCCCGTCCAGCCCCAGGCAACCACTAACCTACAGCCTGTCTCTGTAGAGTCACCTGTTCTGGGCATTTCGTCTGAATGGAATCACACAATAAGTGGGCTTTTTTGGTGGCTGGCTTTACTGACTCGGCATACCATTCTCAAGGCTCACCCGTGTTGTAGCGCGCGTCACTGTCAGCACCTCGTTCCTGTCTGCGGCTGAGCAATGTTCTGCCGCCCGGCTCTGCCGCACTGTCTCTGTCCATCCCTCCACCGAGCGACGTGCCCGTTCGTCCCGGCCTGTGGCCGTCGTGCGCAGTGCTGCCGTGAGCACTCGTGTGCCAGAATTTGTCTTCATTTCCCTGGGCACCTACCTAGGAGCGGAGTGGCTGGGTCGTACGACAACTCTGTGTTTGACCTTCCGAGGAGCTGCCAAGCTCTCTCCCACCGCGGCCGCACCATTTACATCCCCACCAGCAGCAGACAAGGGTTCCCATCTCTCCACGTGCTCACAGACACTTGGTATTGTCTGTCGCTGATCACGGAAGGAAGCCAGGAGTGGGCCATCTTGAAAGAGTCCTACCCAGGAAAGTGAGACAATGACCGGGGGCCACCTGGGGTCCTCCTTGGAGAGGCGCCCAGGGCTGGGGGAGTCGCAGGTGCTCAGCTGCAGGACATCTTCCCTGGGCCAGGAATTCATGGCGGGGTCCCACTGAGCAAAGCCCGGCCATCCTGCCCAGCCCGAGCAGGGACCCTCAGAGCAGGAAGGGGCTGTGGTTGACATAAGAGGCTGAGGCTCTGATTTAGATCTGACTGGACTCTCCACTCCCCGAGGGCAAGACTGTTGTTAATATGCAGAGGTGACATTAAGGACATTTACAAGGACAGAGTCTGGGGCAAGAAGGAGGCCCAGCAGAGGTGGTCTGAGAGTGAGACGTAAGAGAAAGAAAATGGTTCTGCTTCTGTCCCCCAGAAAGAGCTATTTCAGAAGTAGGGTCCAGGCTCCAGCAACACTTCAAGTCGCCCTGTCAAAGCTGGTGCCTGGCCCTTTAAGTCTTAAAGGGCTCCAGGAGTTTTAACCATGCTACCAGTTGCTGTAAGAAGGTGGTGCATTGTGGGCACAGGGAAGGAACCCACTCCCTACCGCCACCGTCAACCTGGCAATTTCTGGATGAATCTTGGTACACCAAGTGTAGAATGACAGCAAGTGTGAGCTCCAAGGAGTCTGGGGGAACATGTCGCTCAGAGCTGAGCCTGACTCCAGAAGTCTCCACGCGATAGGTTTGCAAATGGGTGCAGCCACAGAACCCTCAGAGTAAGCACTTTCTAGACACTTCCTTCGTCATCACGTGTGATTGGCTTTCCTCTGCTTACCCAGACCTGCCACATCCTAATTTCCTAACCTCGGTGAGCAAGCTGTGAAATACTTAGAAACCAGTTGAACACAACTTGTGTAAGATCTCTATGGTGAAGAGGGCAAGAACACCACTGAAGAACTTTGTCCAGTCATCTGTCAACGGACATGCGGGCTGTTTCCGTGTCTTGGCTGTTATAAGTGCTGCTGCTGGGAACACTGGATGCGTGTGTCTTTCTGAATTATATTTTCCTCCGGATGTATGCCCAGGAGTGGGATGGCTAGATCATACGGTAAGTCTATTTTTAGTCTTTTGAGGACTCTCCATCCTGTTCTCCACAGTGGCTGCACCAATTTACATCCCCACCAGCAGTGTAGGAGGGTCCTTTTTCTCCACACCCTCTCCGGCAGTTACCTTTCTTTTTAATGATGGCCATTCTGACTGGTGTGAGGTGATATCTCACTGTAGTTGTTTTTTTTTAATTTGGAGGGGGAGGTAATTAAGTTTACTTATTTATTGTTTAATGGAGGCACTGGGGATTGAACCCAGGACCTTGTGCAAGCTAAGCATGTGCTCCACCACTGAGCTCCACCCGCCCCCCTCTCACTGTAGTTTTGATTTGCGTTTCTCTAACAATCGGTGATGCTGGGCATCTTTTCATGTGCTTGCTGGCCATCTGAACGTCCTCTTTGAAGAGATGTCTATTTAGGTCTTCTGCTCATTTTTTGATTGGGTTGCTTAAAACAAGCTTTATTAAGGTATGAGTATCTTGCCTTTTCCTCAGGCAATCCTTGATGCTAAAGAGAACTTCATCTGCACCCCATGAGATTCACTCCCTCCTTTGCCCTCCAGAGGGATGGAGAATGGAGATGTTGGCTGTCAGGCTGAGAGGAGCCCTTGAGGCAGCAACCCAGGTAGGTGATGAATAAAGAACAGGGGGAGGGACGGGAGAGGGATCAAAGACACCTCAGGCCACTGCCACCAGGAGAAAACTGAGGCCGCTGGGACTAGCCGTGGAGGGGCCCTGAGAACGAGGGGGCCTCCCTCCGCACCCCCACCCCCGCTTCCTTCCCCCCACAACAGACCACGTTGCAGACTCGCCTGGGGGCTCATCACAGCACACTGCTGAGCCTTTGCTCAAAGTTCCATCTTTTTTCAGGATCCCGTTGGCTGCTCTGCTACCCAGGCCTTTCCGCATAGATTTTAGAGTCAGTTTCTCGATACCTGTGCAACAGCGCGCCAGGATTTTGGCTGGGCTCCTGTTGAAGCTACAGATCAAACTGGGAAGAAGAAACAACATCTTGACAATAGCGGGTCTTCCAGTCCGTGAAGATGGAACACCTCTCCAACAGCAGCCCGCCCCCACCCGAGCTCCTGATCCAGCAAGTCTGAGGGGAGCCCGAGGCTTTGCCCTTCGGTCTGTGCCCAGGTGACCCCACTTTGAGAGGTGCTGTCCTAGGCTCCAGGAGCCCTGCCTGGCTGGGGAGTTGGGGTCACTTTGAAGACCTGGAACCTTCTTTCTGGGCTGGGCCCCAGGCTACCCGAAGGAGCTTTTGTCCCCATGCAAATCACGGCAGGCCGGCTCTGCTTGGATTTGCATGCTACAGCTGACTTTTTTAAACATTTCCTCTCCAGCAGATAAACAGCGGGTGCCGGGAACCCGAAGGTGCAGAGGCTCCGGGGGCACAGCCGCGCGTGGGAGAGGGTTCTTCTCTGAGTACCAGGTTCCTCAATTTTCTGGGGGAGTTTCTTGGGACTCTTGGGACTCTCTCCTTCCCCAACAAACGCCCTCCGCGGAAGTCTCAGGAGGTCAAGCCCAGGTCTAAGACAAGGCCCTGCCCTCCCCCGACAGGGCGTGGCGGCGGCCTCTGGCTGAGCCCTAGGCGAGTCGAGCCAGGTGGCTGGAGGAGGGCACTGAGCAGTCAGAGGACTCCTGGGAGGACAGAAGGTGAAGGTGTGAGCAGAGGACTGGCACACAGGACCCCCCTTCCCAGAGATGAGAGCCAGCCGGGGAAGGGGCAGGCCTTCCAGGTGGAAGGAGTGAGGCTCGGAGGCCGACACCAAGCCTGCACGGGTCACGCAGGTCACGCTCTCAGTGGCCACCCTCCTGTCGGCCTGTGGCCCCGACTCCAGGTGCTCACTCGACCCATTGCCTTCCCTGCCTCCTGAGCCAGCCCTCCAAGGTACTGCATCACGGGAGCTGGCCACACAGAGCCCCAGGGAGGGATGCTGGCAGCGTGAGTGGGGGGCCCTGGGCCGGTGGCTCCGGCCCTCCTCCCTGGCAGGCAGGGCGGGAAGGCTTGGAAGGATGGCCTCAGTCTCCACTGGGGGTCCTGACGGCTCTCCCCGCTCCCCAGTGTTTACAGGAGCTGCCAGCACAATACTCCACCCCTCAGAGACCCCCTGGGGCCAATCCAGAGCCTGCTCTGGAGAAACTAAGGCCCGAGAGGGTGGGGGCGGTGGCCATGGCTCCAGACGCAGGGACGCTGTCACTTGGATTGTCGTTGGGGTTGAGGTGTCTGATCAGGGCCCATGAGGACCAGAGCTGTACCCTTGGCCCCTAGGCCCAGACCTGTGGGCCCCAGAGCTAAAGATAAGCAGGGGCCACAGCCTAGGCCTCGCGGCCAGCAGAGGGACCAAGCTGGAGGCCCTTGGCCCCTAATCCCACGCCTTCTCCCTGCCCCGGGGCCCTGGTGTCCCGGAGCCCAGCAGCACCTCTGGGCCCTGACTCCAACCCTGGGGGTGGAGGGGACCAGGTGAGATGTACGGGGCCTGGTCTGGAACTGCTGGGGGAGACCACGTTGCACACCTGGCAGGGTTCTGGTACACCTCCCTCCCTCCCGGACACTCACTGCGCTTCCCGATGGGCAGGGCAGAGAGCACAGGAGTCGTTCTGGATAATGACAAGTGAGTCAAAGTGACAAATCACATCCAGGCTGAGGCTGTGAAGAGCCCTGTGTGCCCGTCATCCTCTGGCAAGGCGGGTTAGGGTTAGGGTTAGGGTTAGGGTTAGGGTTAGGGTTAGGGTTAGGGACGCGGAACCCGCACGGGGAGGACAGCCGCCCTGAGCAATCGCCCCCTTCACTTTGGATACTGCATGAGAGAGAATGAAATCTTTGTGGCATTCAGTCTTTGAGATTTTGAGATTTATTTGTCACTGCAGCAAAACTAGCTTATCCTGACTAACACAGAAGCAGTGGCAGGCCTGGGACACACACACCGTCACCAGGAGATGGCACCCGGACAGACGTTACTAACGCACCTCTGCACTCTGTCCTCCCCCATCCCAGCACCTGCACAGGCAGCTCTGCCAGTGGGGCCACAGCCTGGAAGATGCGACGCGATCCTTCTGGCTCATAAATTGCCTCTCAGGTGGTTGAATAATTTGATTGGCCCCCTCATTGGACCCCTGACTTGGGAGTGAGAGAAGCTGCCCCTTGGGGGATCTGACAGCTTCCTGCCAGTCAGTGTCCGTGCTCGTCAGAGCGTCCCTTCCTCCCTGCCTGCTCTCCGAGCGGCGCTGGCCCGAGGCTGCCGCCCCCGCCCTGCCCCTTCCAGCCGCCCTTCCCTCCGCCGGCTCCGGGGGGCTCGGTGATCTCAGCGTCCGTGACGTCTCCCCCTCTCTGAGCCGCTACGTGTAGGGCCAAGTAGGAGCTTGTTGCTCTGAAGACACTGGGAGGAGCTGGCCTGCCTCGCGTTCTCATTCTTAGTCAGGGTGTGCCGGGCCTCAGACTCAGGAAAGACAATTCACTTTCGGTGGGGCCCCTTCCAGAAGGAGGGCTGGGGCTGGAACAGGAGCCGTGCCCCGGGGGTCAGCGCCCTCCCCGTGCCTGAGACGAGGGAAGGGCAGTCCCAGGACACGGGCTCCAAGCGGACGAACAGAGTGAACATGACTTTTTACAATGGGGCTTTGATCTGCCTAATGTCACAAGACAGCCGGGGACAAACGCCAGGCCCTGTGCGCCTCCCGGTTCCCACAGGAGGTGCCCTGTGCAGGTATTCACACGGGGAAGTTCTTGGCAGGCCCAGCCCCTGGGCCGGGGCCCATCACAGACACAGCGCGGCAATTAGGTTTTGGAAAATGGGGGGTAAGGCTCGTTTGGCCAAGGCTCCAGCCTCCGGCCCAAAGGTAGCGTCAGAGGGAGGGAGGCCAACCCCAGCAGGAGTGGGTGCCCGCCTGGTGTGAACAAGGGTGAGCAGGAGGAATTCCTGTGGTCAGGGGCAGCCGGCTGGGCGCAGAGGCTGGGTGGCCCCTTGACAATACCCACTCTGTCCCCGGCTGATGGTGACCTTTGCCAAAGCGCTCAGTGAACGGGCCGCATCGCTGGCAGGTGTGTCCGAGCCTCCAGTGCTGGAAACCCATGAAGAGGCCGGGCCAGGGGAGCGCTCACAGGACGTGTTGTAACTCAGGTGCCCACGAGGGCCTCCCTGGGGCTCGGGCCAGGCCGGCGGGGCTGCCAGGGGCCCATCCTTCAGGCTGTCAGGACGCATTATCCCCACCTGTGCTCAGGAACAGTGGCCTCGCCTGTAACTCACTCCCATCCCGACGTGGATGAAACGGCCCGCACCTCCTGCCAGCGTCTCTGGTTTCCCGGCCCGCTCCCCTCGGAAGGCTGCGGCAGGATGTGCCGGGAGTCCAGAGAGGTAGCGGCTGCAGGCTGGCAGCTGTTAGACAAGACTTCCTGAGTCCTCCCTGCTCTGGGCTCCTGGCCACTGGAGACAGAAATCCCCGTCAACCTCTGTCCCCTGTCTTGGCCTCTGGGCGCCATGATGGCATGACACAGGCACTCACCCATTTAAATCCACACGACCACCCCATAAGCAGCTGCCACCAGCGCCTCCTCTGGTTCCCAGCTGGGGAAACTGAGGCCCGCAACTGGTAATGAGCAGCCTCGGTTGGGAACCCTGGCCTCTGGCACCAGCGTCCGTGACAGCGGCCACCTCTCCGCTCTGGCCGCCACCTCCGAGTGCAGGGCCCTTGGCTGATGCCCAGAAGGGATTCCCTGAACACACTTCTCCTGCCCTTGCCCTGCCCACAGCCCACCTCCCCAAGGCAGGGACCCCTGCACTCAGGCCAGGCAACTGTTTGTTGAATTAGTAAGAAAGGAACTGGGTGACAATGGGGCCGTTTCTTGAGCTTCACCCTAGGCTGGGCACATCCCAAACACTCCCACACAGGCCCTCATCTTCCTTCCCAACATCCCCACGTGGGGAAGCAGGACCTCCGTCCCCACTTTACAGATGAGGAAACTGAGGGTGAGCGGAATAAGGCAGCTGGCCAAGGACCAACCGGCCCATCAGCGGGGGTGATTAATTTCCCGCTCTGCTTATCCGCCTCTAGCCTGGGAAGACGGGAGTGAGAAACGAAAGACCAGAGAGGGGTGCTGGCTCAATGGCCTGTGCGCCATGGGGATAAAGACACCCCCCTGTCCCCGCCTGTGACATCTCACAGCAGCCACGCCCCCAGTACCCCCACTGCTAGGAGGTCAAGTTCTGCACTACACTCTCAATGCCTTAGGTCTGGCCAGTTTGGGGGTTTTGATAACCATGCTTGGAAATCTTAACAGCAGGTGGCATTTCCGGTCCTGGGGAGTGTGCATAGAGGGGCCGGGGCACCCACGGAGGAGGAGCTTGCCCCAGCAGCTTGCCCCAGTCAGAGCTGTTGTGTGCAGAGGGGTGTGACCCTGCACATCCCCGGCAGTAAAATGTTTAGCTACCAGAGCGCAAGCTCACATGTCAACAAGAAACCCTTTGTCACAGCGGAGGAGACAAGGATGGATGGGAATTTGCATCTTTGAACGCATCCTCTGATTCCATGGATGGCGGAGACTACCTGGAACTCGGCGTCAGCCTCGTCTGGGCGACCCTGTGCAGGCGGGCGTCTGTGTGCTGGGCACTCGGCCAAAGCGAGAGCCCCGGGAATGGAATAATGAAGAATTAATTCACCCAGCAGGGTCCTTTCAGTGTCTGGGAAGCTCTCGCACCTTCTCTGAGGGGCAGACGTGTTTTCTTGGGAGGAATGCTGTTACACAATCAGTCTGTCAAAAGGCCGCGTGAAGAATCCGGGCGAGGTGGCTTCAGCTGCGGCCGGCTCCTTTGATTCACACACTCCCCACGGGCAGACCCAGACCCTTGGCTCCCTGCTGCCTGCAAAGGCACACACCACCCGCAAGGGACCCCACACAGGAGCCAGAGAAAGCACGGTGGGAATGCGCCTGCCCCCAGTGTGCAGGGAGCACAAAACCTGAGTCCCACGGGGCCCACAGACACCTGGTAGGCAGAGCGAGCACCCATTGTGCAGACGGGCACACCGAGGGGCACACAGCGCCGTGGCCAGCGAGAAGCAGGGATGACCAAGCCCCCAGGGCAGAGGCGGCGGATTGCCTAGTACAGGTGGTGACATAGCGGGGTCAGGGGCAATGGGGGACGGTAGGGGAGTGGGGTGGGGGGAGGGGGAGGGGGACAGCTACTGTACCAAGGCCAGAAAACACGAAAATAAAAGATCAGCCAGCTGCATCAAAATATAAACAGAATTGGGAGTTCAGGAGTTGCAGATACACACTACTGTATATACAATAGATAAACAGCGAGGTCCCACTGCAGAGCACAGGGAGCTACACTCAGTACCCTGTAACAGCCTATAGTGAAGAGGAATACACACACACACACACACACACACACATGCACACACAACTGAATCACTATGCCGTACACCAAGGAGACCCCAGCCCTCGGTCGCCTTGTCAGGAAATGAATGAGTTGGGGTCCTCAGAGCTCCCTCTGCCAGTCTAGGACTTGGGTCGAAAGGGGTTGCCAAATCAGTCCCTGAGCCTCACAGTTGTCTTTGTTGTCACCTTCAGATGGGCAATCTCCGCTGCGTCTTGCCTCACGTAGAAGTGGGACTGGAAGCCATTTCCTTAATTTTACAGAAGGGACTCTGATTCTTCCTTGGATGTTTTGTACATTGGGAGCCACTCCTCTCCCATCCTCACCTAAAGATCTTACAAGCTTAGGGGGAAAAAATGATGAACACCAATTCTGCTCAATTGTGGAAGATCAATGCATAGAACTGAGTGAGTTACCGTGAGCCAGCACTGCTCTCTGCCTGGCGCTGCACAACGTGAGTGGTGCGCATCCACCCTTGAGATGCTGACCTTCAGCTAAGAGAGACACACACACACCTGGAACACAGCCTGAGAAGTGCCTCCGCAGGTGCGTTTCTTAGACACAGGAGCTACAATTTCCCCATGATGCATGGTGGCTCAGGCCCTATGCTAAGCACTTCACCTGCCCCCTTATGTAAAAGCCTCTAGAAATCAAAGCCCAAGGAAAGATTAGAATATTGGCACTTCAAGTAAATCCAGGTCAGTGAGCCTGAGAGCAAAAGGGGAAGGAAGGTGTGAGGCAGGGAGGAGCCACTGTTGCAGCACCAGCGGCCTCTCTACAGTATGCTCTCAAGGGACAGGAAGGGGTTCCTTTGGGAGAGTTGCCACACCTTTGCCCCTAAAGGGTCCACAGAAGAAAGAGAAGAGGGAAGATGTAACAGCCTGGCTCCATCGCGTGTCCCATTTCCTGGGGGTCGAGGCTGACCCCGCAACTTGTCTTATCTCAGAAGAAAATACTCAGGGGTCAGACCTCATGCCCTGTGGAGTGCGTTTCACCCAAGTCTGAAAGCAGAGCGGGGACCCAGCACGGGGCAGGCGTCGCACCAAGAGGGAGAAAGAACCAGCGGGAGGAACCCGAGGAGGTGTGCGGATTGGGCCCAGCACGCACCTGCGTGTCTCACTGGGCACTCACAGTAGCCCAGCAGGTAGGCGTTGTCATGCCCACTTCTCAGGTGGAGAAACGAAGGTGGAATTTCCATGGCCGCCCGTGAAGGAATAACTGGTATGGGACTTTCCCACCTCCATTAAAATATATATATACTAGGAAACTGGGCAAAATACATGAAACAACTCTTTTCAGGTATTGGACAATGGGCAGCTCAGGAC